TAAACTAAGCTACAATAAATTTGAATAACTTGTGGTTCAGCATGTTGTGGAAACACAGTAACTCCTTGTCATGTTGTGTGAAGTAGGCCTTTACATAAAGCCATAATATCAATTATTTACCCAGGCATAGCATGTTATGTAAACATAGCAATTCTGTTTTGTTAACATTAACATATCATACAAACTAATCTGTTAAACTGAACTGAAATTCTGATTATTTTTTCCTAGCTACATAGATGGAAAAAAGTAGGAATGCTTTAACCTGACACATGTGCAGATACCTATTTATAGCCATATTAAATAATGGTTTATCATTACACATAAAAACATGCTATTACCCACCCAGGTGATCTTAGGCAAAGGGGAAAACTGAAAACAGATTTCAGAACAAGAGAGTTGTTGCTACCTATTCCACATCTTAGCAGTTTTATACCCAAACCTAGTTTTAACAACCAATAGCTAAGCTATACCTTACAGTACAGGTAGTCCTTAACTTACAATAATTCATTTAGTGGCTGTTCAAAGTTACAATATCACTGAAAAAGTGACTTATGACAGTTTTTCACACAACCATTACAGCATCCCCATGGTCATATGAGATGTTTGGCAACTGAATGTCTTGGGGTCATGTGATCACCTTTTGCAACCTTCTGACAAACAAAGTCAATGGGGAAGCCAGATTCACTTAACATACATCTTCAAATGACAAGACTGAAAACTATAAATTGAAAACTAGTTACTATGCATTTTTTTGCCCTGCTCAACAACATTTCACAATTAATTCTATACATTTGAAAGCTGAATTGATGCCAGTATGCAAATATATCTAAAGATGGTTGCCTGTCTCATTTGTGTATGGCTGCCATATTGTTTTCTCTATCTGGGAAATACAAGCATCAGTTACTTCCCTACACAAATATTTGCACATATTTCTCTTTAGAGATCTTCCCTCTCTAGTCACAATGCAACTACCTAGGAATGATTTATCTGCTGGCATTCTTCAGGACAGATATCTAAAACTGTGCCATTTAAGTAGCTCCCCTTTCCTTAATTCAGTTTTTAAATTATGCACTACACTTTCAATGGCAGTTCTAAATTACTGAAATAGCCTTTCTATAATACCTACAAGCTCTTTCTAATTCACCTTATATTTTAGACCTTATACAATTAATTATATTCCAATATCCAATTTCTTCACCTTACCATTTGTTGGGAAATACTGGGAAGATAACTCTTTTCTTAATAATTAAATATAAATATCTCATTAAATATAATCCAATTACTTTAAGAAAAATCATTACAATATGTGCATGCATTCTTGCCTGAACAGTTTTAGTATTTTAAATTAATCATTGCTAAATACATCAAATCAACCTCTGACATTACAAAATCTACTACTGCCAATTTCTTTTTCATAAGGTATTTTTTACAGATAGCTTTATATTTCATTATTTTTTTCTCAGAAGTATTTTAAACATTTGAATTAAGAATGGCATCTTGAACAGAGCTTCCAAACAATAATAATGGTTATTACAAGAACATATATGTTGAAATCAGAATAGGACACTTTTATAAATTTTACAAAATAGCCCGCTTAAATGGACTATTAGCAAAACAATCACTGTGATATAAAAAAGATGGATATACCAGCCTGCATTTATGGGTTCTACCTCCAAACTTCCCTTTTAAGCAAGCAGCTGAACAAACCAGAATTTGTAGCTGATTTAACTTGAGAAAATTATGTACATTTCTCTTAATGGGACCGCTTTTAGTAGCCATGTCAATATTTCTGATAAAAACTCTGTACTTGGTTACAGTCCCAGTAGACCTCAATTTATGACTAGTCACTTAGTGACTGTCCGAAGTTATGATGGAGCCCCCAAAACTAATTTTGAAGTCCCAACATTGCCTTCCCCCATGATCACATGACTACATTCAGCAACTGAACCACATTTGTAGCCATTTACAAAATCTTGTGGTCACGACAACTGCAATTTATAATGTTTTGTCCAGAAATTGGCATTTACTTCTGATTACCAACAAAAAACAGCTCATAGAGAAAAATGTGTTCTCTTACAACTGACACTCGCTTAACTGCCACGAAAATGTTTGTAAAATTGATCCAGTCACATGGTGACCCACTTTACAACTATCACAACTTATAACTCTAATTTCCAGGCTCAATTACAGTTATAACTCGAGGACTACATGTACACATTATCCCTCCGAAGCTAGAAAACGGGACAGATTTACTTCTGCAATTCTGCTATCAACCAAAGTAAAGATACCTATCTTTCTTTCACATTTGGAGTCAGGATAGAAAGCAAAGGATTACTTTGCTGTCACGTCACTGATGCACTCTAGAATGCAATCTAAGCAGAAAGCCACAGCCTTTTCCCCCAAAGATGAAGAGAAAAAGGTTTGGCACAGTTGGAAGCCAGGCTATTCTTAGAACCACAACTATAGCTTGAGGCTAATGAGAAGCTGGCCCTCCTATTACATTCAAGAGGAGGCAATGAGGCACTTGCTCTGATGAGTAAAACTACAGGTTCCCACAGCTGGAGAGTAACCTCTGTCCATCTCAAAGTACAGTTGTCGACAATTCCTCATTGACTTTTCTCATAAATCAGTAGCATTTTACAGAAAGAGATCAATCAATCCTGAATTTCACAATGGCTAATCCTTCAGGAAAAAAAATTCAAAGATACTTGATTCTAAACCCAAATCTGAAATGTCAATTGAAAGGATAAAGTACAATATTCCATAAAACCAAGAGAATCAGCACAGATTTGCAAAATTCTCTACCCCATTATACATAATTATACATAATGTGGTAATTGAACATCTATAGCAGGGGTGTCAAACTCAATTTCATTGAGGGCCGCATCAGCATTGCGGTTGCCCTTGAAGGGGCCGGGTGGATGTGGCCAGGATGGGTGCGGCCTACTGGGTGGGCGTGGAGTGGGTGTGGCCTATTGGGTGGGCATAGCCAGCTCTACATCGTTCGCATGAAGGGGGCCTGAGCAGGAGTGGGACAGA